TAAGATAAATAAACCAAACATATTCTATTGTGGAATTTTCTTTACATTTTCAGATATTGTGGTCCATAATTCAAATCTTTTTTCTTTATAGTTATTAATAAGTATTTTATAGTGAGTTTGAGAAATAAAGAATTGTCAAACAGATTTTTAATGTAGAATAATGTGAAATGAACATTGGAATCTATAGAACTTTTAAATATGCTTTAGTTCTCTTTTTCCAAACATTCATAGTAACTTTAAATGTAGTATTTTTGCTCACTGATAAAATTAAATTAGATTTGGGAAAGTTATGTAAAAATCAAAACTGTTGATGAGTTTAATTACTTACTCAGAATAAAGAAGGAATGTTGAAAACCTTGCTTTCAATTACATTCTAGGATTCATTGAGAGCTTCTCTGAGTCTGTTTTTAGACTTGATTGATTTCAAGTATAAGATGTTAAAGAAAGGTCATCTTGGAGAACCAAAGCTAGTGTAGGTGCAGATCTATCTCAAAAAGAGTAGGTTTGCTTGCCTCATCTACACACTATTCTGAGTCAGGAAAATCAACTCTGCAGTTAAATTCTGAGTATTTTACTGTTTAACTCTTTCTTCTTTTAAATTATCATTATAAACTTTTTAAGGGCTGGAGCGATAGCTCAATGGCCAAGTGCTTGCTTAGCACATGTGAGGCACTGGATTCGATTCTAGGACCCTCATAAAAAAATAAATAAAATAAAGGCATTCTATCCAACTACAACTACACACATAATACACAAGAAAAAAACTTTCAAATGGTGTATTTCTCTTATGTATGGTATCTATCAAAAGCATCTTTAAATACTTGCAAAGACATTTTACCACATAAGAGATCATAAGTAGTACATTTACTTCTCAAATATATATATAGTAATTTGGACTAAATTTTTTCTTAATAAATGTTTAACTTATTTATTTGTTTGTTTTATCTGAGATGAGACTATCTCAAACTCTTCTTACAGTCTGTCATGTAGTATGGAAATTCTTGTCAATTTTAAAGAAAGAAAGACAAATTAATAGAAATGAACTGATTTATGGTTCTTTGGCCTAAGTTAAGGGAACGGGTTCTTTTGTGCAACTTGATAAATTCAGCTTCTGCTGTCACCACCTGACAGAATGTTCATAAATTCTGAAAAGGCATCAGAATCTTTAATATATTGACTTATTTTTAATGATGTTGACACTACATTAATAAGAATTGAGATTTGAGCTTAGTTACTAAGCAATCTTCATTCTAGGTTGCTCTTGAATTTGATTTTCTAATCACTTATTACAATTTATCTTTGGGCAGCCCTCCTCATAATGTCTTGCTTAGGTGTACCTGTCTTCTTGAATGATGAACCATTTTACTCATTTAATCTCTATAAAATGTTATCATTACATTAATCTGATCATAAATATTCTATATCTTTGATAATTCATTTCATGGTCTTCTGCTGAGAAACGTTGTACCATAGTTATCTCGACCAAAGTTACTTAGAGCAATAAATTATCCATAAGGTTTGTTTGATTTCACTATTTGATTAATGGTACTTCAACTCATGGAACATGGAGCAGCATTCCATAAAAAATTAGTTGGATGTTCAGAGGTTTAAAAATAAATTCTAAATATTATGCTAACTAAACAGCCCTATAATTATTTTTTGGATGCAGCCATTCATAGGTGACTTATATAATTGAAGGACAAGATATCATAGTCAGTTCATCATTAGAAAATCAGATGGATACAGATATATACTTTTTAATATAATGGAGACAAGGTAATTCATATATTGGTCTTATTCATAATTAGTCACAACTCTATTTGGAGACAAAAGTTATGCTTCATTATAGTTGGTATTGAATGAAAGTAATTGAAAATCACAATGAGATGTAATCATTTTGATTGTGGAAATGGAATTAAGAGATGCTATTAAACCATACATTAATAAATGACTGCTATCCCCATATTTCTTATATAACATCCCATTTAAAACAAACGATTCTTTAATTTTCAGAGTATTTGTTCATACTTTATTCTAGTCATTTGAAAGCATGATTTCAAATAAATTTATTAGTTCTGAATAAGTCTAATTGTGTGGTTATAGATTGCCAAAAAAAGTATTAGCTTTGAAGAGATGAATGAGAATCTTATTTCATACCTTTTCTTAACACCTTCTGCAACTAACTCCCTACCATATTTGCATATTTAAGAAGCCTTAAAATCTCTTTCTTCCCTTAATCACATACTAGGACATACATCTACAGTTTCCCATGATGCATGTCTAATACTGAGAATAAAATGTATCACTGTAGAGATGTGCATTTCATTCAGTACATCATATCCCTTAAAGAAAGGAGCAAAGAAATGCAAGAGCAAATAAAATTTCATGCAGAGGAAAGTGAGTAATACCCATTTATTTCTAAGGTAAATATTTTTGGTGATTAGTGAAGTACTTACTTAATCTATACTAAGTATACATAACCAAATACAAACTTTATTGAAATATTATATTATTAAAATAAATATTTCTAATAAAGGACAAACTATAGCAGAGTCCAACACTAGTCCAACATTACCCTCAGAGTCCTGCTTTGTCCTTACAAATGAACACACACACAGTCATGTGCTCTACCAAAGCATATGCAAACTTTCACACACTCATACAAATACACTGAACTAATATTTGTTAAATAATCATATGCATAATAAGAGTATAGAGTTCCAATATATTCCATACTGAATGCATATGCTTTAGCAATAATCTATTAAGTAAATATAATATTTATCTATAATTAAAACTTTCATTATATATAGGGATATAAATAAAAACATGATGATTTTGGAAACAGAACAAAATAACTAATATCAATATAAATTAATTAGTTGATTTGAGCTTTTTAACTAATTCTAAGTTCTTCTACCTGATTAACAAAATGGACACACATAAGAGAAAATTTTGTCTTATCAATTTGGTTAGTATGTTAATAAACACTTTTTCTAATTATGTAGTAATTCCTTGGAACTAAAGTAACTTGTATGTGACATACTTAGTTTAGATTACATTATGTTACTTGTTTATAATAATTCCAATTTCTATTTGAATTTATATAATGGCATATTACAATCCAAACCGTAATCAATATGCATGTCATGTGGTCACATACAACTGTATGTGTACCCTTAACTCCTATACTTCCAGCTCTATAGTTCTTCATTATTTTCTTTTGGGAAGGAAAGAATGAAGCAGTATATCTGAGGTCTACTCTTGGCAGGGAACTTGCCTGTTTCAGCACCTCAGGGAAGGAACAAGGCAAGTGAAGTCAAATCCTCTTGTAAACAAGATAATGACAAAAACTCCTGGCAAACAACCCAGTGGGTAGGCTTTGAAGTGTGCTTAGGAATTGAATCTTTTTAGTTGGATGTACCTCATTGTCTCACACAATTGGTAAACAAAGCTGCAATCTGTTGGCACATGGAGCAGTATTCCATAAAAAAAATGGGTTGGATGTCATGTAATTACCTTAAAGTAATGAGTATTTATGGCCAAATGGGATGGAGATAGATATATATATATATATATATATATATATATATA